AAAAGCAAACCCAAGCTCAGATTCAGATTGCAGACACGAAATGCACTTCGCAAAACTAAAGCGGAACTAAGACAATAATATTTCTAATTTGGATAAGAAAGTAACGTAATAATTGTCAAGTAATGTCAGAAATTAAACATTGGAATCGTGTTTATCTGATATTGGATAGCGTAAACTTGATTCCAATGATTCTTTGGAGACATTTCTCATATTGTATAGCTTAAGACATGGTTATCATCATCATACAATTTCAACATTGGAATAATAATTTATGTAAGACCTTATACTTGTACTTTCCTTTATAGTCTGAGTAAATTATAAATTTAGAAACACACAATTTTAAAATTCTTTTATTTATAATTCTTATTTTATTTATAATTATTATTTATTACTCAAAAAAATTGTGAATTTTCAATGCATATTTTACACAAAGGTTCGAAAGCATAGGACAAAATGTGTATTTCAAATTTTTACCATAATATAGACACCTAACTAAATTCAAAGGTGACTTCAGAATCATGGTGATTTGTGTGGCACCCCCCATATATTTCCGCAGCCCTTTATAAACCTACAATTATATCTAAAAATTATTTTAAGCTCCGGGAATATATGTAACATTTCTTCTAGACAAACATTAACAGATGCACTTTAACATTATACTGAGGCACTGAATATTACCGAAAATGCAATTTAATTTAGTTTAAATCTCCCTCAAGACTCTTAAAGTAAATACAGGTCATTAAAAACTTTCTCCTCACATTGATGAAACACTGGTTTTTCTCAGTGGATGAGCAGGGCCAAGTGATTTGATCGTGGGCAGCAGTCGCCATTGTGGCTATTGCTATTTTGCTCGTAGTGGCTGTTGCTGCGGTGACATTCCTGAGAAAAGCGAGCTGTCGATGGCATTGTCATAATTATTAATAAGCATAAAGTCCGATTTGAATGTGGTCAAGTGGTTCTGCGGTGGTAGTGCACCACAAACAGCACCACTCGCGTTTCTCTGTGGTGATTGAGACTGCGGCTTCAGTTCGACCGATGTGTGTTTGGCATATTTTCTGTCCAAGACAAGTGGCGGCTTTTTTGATGTCGGACATTCTGTTCGAGAGATTTGTCATTTAACTCATTTTCCTCAGCAAGGTTATGGCAGGTGGGCGTGGCAGCATCAGCACGCCTTCTAATGACGTTGTCCAATTGAAATGTACGTCACGCACCTGAACGGTGAAAAAAAGTCGAAAAAGGAAAAGCGCGCAGGAAAACTTGCAAGTTGATGGAGATGTGTGGCATAGAAAAACTTTTGCCTCACAGGCTTCTCAAGCAAAACTGATTGCAGTTTGCAGCTAATTGCAACACTCGAAGGCAAGTGCAGCACCAAAGGCTAACGCTACTGACTTGATTTCTCCACGATTCTCGGCACTGAAAGATTAAAAACTAGATATTCAGAAACAAATGCAAAAGTATTTTTAAAGTTTTTACAATTTTACTAAGAGTGTATAAATAATATTTTTATTGTTTCAAGCTTTACCATTATCTATAAATTATTTGTCTTTATCTGCGGAAGACATAATATCTCAGAAGGAACATTTATAAACAAGGATTTCAATTGTAGTCAGCTGTATGAAGATACTTAAAACAAAATCCAAAAAAAATATTTGTTGAAAATGCTAATCCTGAGTTACTTTTAAAATAAATAACGTTAAGCCACTGCTGCTCTCAAACATATATTTTCTGAAAATGAAGGCAACGAATTCGATCAATTTTCACAGTGGCATTTTCTTTCCTTTTCTCCCATGACACATGTCAGCTGTAGGCTGAATCTAAATCTCGGGTTGGCTCCTGCTCCTCATTTAAATCGCACATTTGTACGCGTCATCTTCAAGTCTCTGTCTGTAGTATTCCTCCCTCCTCCTTTTGGCTCTTATTGCTGGCAGCTTATTTCACTGGCAAGAAATCGAAAAAAAATACCAGCGATGAAGCGGGGCGAAAAAATTAACTCTTTGGTATAATTTTTCATTTCTCGGAATGAGTTTGGAGCAGCCGCAAGTAACACGACTTCTGTCAGTGTTTCCTCGCCAGTTTTTGCTTGAGGAATGGAAGCACAAACATTAGAAAATGGTCTGCCCGTTGTTCTAGGCCCTCCTTTCCCCAATCAGGGGCCATCTCTTTCTGCGAGTGTCTCTGTATATGTAAATATTGGCTCAGGTTCTATCATTTGCAAAAATCTGGCCAGCCAAGCAAACACATGGATATGTTGGCCTTTAAAGGAGGTGAGCTGCGAGAAGGGTCGGGATAGAGTTGGAGGATGCAGAAGGAACTGGAGGAGGCTATGACTTCTTGAATGAGCGCGCCCCCAAAATGCGGAAGTTTATACAAAAGCAGAACAAAATACACATATATAAGTGCAGATGTTTCAGGGACTGGTAAAAGGGGGTGTGGAAACAGTGGGAGGGGGTCGCAGAGCAACATTTGCAACTGTCAACGAGACAGCGCGATTTGGACGGAAAGTTTATTACCGGGTTGGACTTAGGCCAATTATGACGAGGGCTCCTCCTCCCATTGCGAAAGGAACAGCGAAAAATGCAAAATGCATAATTGCCAATGGATTTTGTCTTTCTATTAATAAAGTTGGGAAAAGGGAGATCATTATGTTGAGGGCCAAGAGATTTAAAATTAAATTTGAGCGACTTAATACTAATTTTCACTTATAAAAGCAAAATATACACTTAAAAAATGGTTTGAGTTTAACTGAACAGCTTTTTAGACTTATTCCAATTTGTGTGTATTTTTTTGGTGGCGAGGGTAATATAAATCAAACAAAAACACCTTATAACGAAGTAAAACAAGGAAGAACGTTGTCAGATACCCGTTACTCAGCTAAAGGGACGAACGGGAAATGGAGATATGCAAGCAGCAAAGCGAGATTGAAATGCGCCACCTACCGGCGGTAGACAGATTTAAGCGTTATGGGCGTTAGAATGGGCGTGGCAATCGATAGGTATTGACGAGACCAATACATTTTAGTTTATTCTAGCGTCAAAACTGTAGGAGCCACAGTTTTGGGCGGTTTGTGGGCGCTAGAGTGGGCGTGGCCTTTTACTCTACGAGTAACGGGTATAACTAGTGACGATCGCACCTTCAACATACAATATTTCTAACATCAAATTTTGAGTCGAACAATTTGGAAATTTAGATTTATCGTGTAATAGATCTACTAAATAAATACACCTAAGTTTTTCACATTATTATAAAGGAATTTGTTTCTTAAATAAGAAAGTTAAGTCCGCGATACACTGCTAAATTCAAGCTAATGGCCATTAAGCAGATTTTTCGAGAAACTATCGATGCAAGAAGTTTGAAAATTCATTATTACTTCAGTTCTCAGATATGCTAATCCCAAACCTTGCCAAAAGTAGTGGTTTCTTTGTCCGAACCTTGAAACATAATTCGTACTCCGCGTGTGCCGAACAAAAAACGCGACAGAGTAAAACAAACAAATGCTTAAACACTCGCAGATATTTTAAAGCGAAACGCTTTTCAATTGCATTCGACTGGTCGAGCTGTCAATGACATGGATTTGCAGCCACCAAAGAATCGACAAGAAACAGCCGAACCGAAGGAAAAACAATGCAAAAACCTTTGGCCACATGTGCAGTGCCAAATCAAAACGTCAAATTATAATTGTCTACGAGCTCTTGTTTTTTGTGGCATTTTTTTTGTTTGGCACGAGCAGCGCAAAAACAGTTAGAGAGCACGACCAGTGGAGCCAAACCCAAGAAACGACACCCACGCAGGAAACCCAGAGGAAAAAGAAAAACCGAAAGCCAAGAAAAGCGCCCAAGCGCAACCGACTGGCATTGACTTCATAGTTTACACACGCCGAAGTTTATCGATGATTTCGATAATATGATTTGTTTCTTTAATATATTAAAAAATGTTGCTTAGATGTAATATCAATGACATAAAACTTTTTTATTGCACGTATTTTTGTTATAATTTATTTATTAATTTATAAGTAACAACAGTTGTTAGTAACCGGAAATCGATATTTAATTATAATGATTTTAATTATCGTTATTATCGTTTATCGTTGTTCCAAGTCGTATGGACTACTTAATTTGTACTTATTTGAATGAATAAACTTGGATTTTATAAATACGAAGCTACTTCGAATTTGTTCTCTGTGCACAGACAACGTTGCTGTGTTCGGATTTGAATCGAAGTTGAAGTTGCAATGCGGCGAGGTCAGGCCCGAAGTCCGAACTCGAACTCGACTCCGCACATAAATTAGTCAGAGTTGCATGCAAAATGAGCAACCCACTCCGGCTCACTCCGCCCCCCGCCGGCTGCGTCGTCAAAATGTCTGGGCTAACATTCTGTCGATTGGCAATTAGCTCGGATCTCCCAGCTCCAGCCCCCAATCGTTATTCGTTCGCTCATTGCCCATTGCCCGATTGTTCAATTTCGGTTAATTGGTTCTGATTGTTTTCGAGGCGTGTAGTGGATTTTCTCTTTTTTTGCGGAGGCAGTGGGAGGAGGTGGAATTATGCACAAGAAAATTACAGAGTTTTTCTAGGTAAAGTGACTATATTGTTAAATAAAGGAAAAGGTATTTATAGAAATTGTATACTAATATAATAGCCACATATTCAGCCTTTATAAAAGGATTCCTTTTTTTCTTAATTGGTGGAAAATGTAACATTTAAAATTTTATTTCTTTTGCGTCAAAGCATAAAGCAGAAATGGGGCATTGTATTTTATTATAAGAGTGTTTGCAAAGCAAATGTTAGTATTGCCATTCATATTTTTGGCCTCTCCTTTGCTTAAAGTGTATCAAACATTGCCATTCCTCACCCACCTATTACCATTATTATGAGTGTTCACAACAGCTAATTACAACTGATTGACAAGTCAGATAATTGATTGTGGATTCTAGATTTCCAGTTTATGCAAATGCCAATGTCTTGTGACTAATGTTTTCATATCTTTTGCATCTTTGTTTGCAGGTAAGCAGAGTCTGGCTCTTTGGATCGAAGGTCACCGGCAAGTGGCATCACCTGTTTGTGAGGCCCAACCTAATTATCACCCAAGTTGCTGGCAGATTTCTTCGGGCGTGGGTGTGACCCACGCGTCATTTGGAAGACCGTCTATGTCTGGGCCACTGGAATTGAAATTGAAACTGAATCTGAAACTGATTCCCCCAACCAAGTCTCGTCAAACGACTTGCGGCATCGTGCCGCTGGCAATTATATTCCATGTTGCCTTTGCTATAAATTAATTAAATGGAAAATAATCGTGTGCAGCCAGTCAGGCAACAAACAGCGTTCTTCAGAGACACCGATGCCGACAAACGGAGCCGAGTTCTAAATGCTTTTGTAATTTTAATTGCTCCGCGCCAAATGTTGTGCTGCCAAATATGGCAGCGGTAACTGAAACGCGCAAGTGCAGCACATCCACGCGATACAGATACAACTGGAAGTAGCTGCCTATGTTGCTAATGTCTCAGTTTAACCAACTTCCTCCTCGCTTTTATGCAAAAAGCGAGTAATGCAACATGGAAGGTTTCCCCACAGCACGACATTCATTGCCACCCGCTTCGTATCTGTATCTTTGGCTGTCGCCGAAGTTGTATCTTTATCTGATGTATCTGCATCTGCATCTGGCTGTTGACGACTTAGCGTTTAATAGCTGCCTTTGAATTATTTATGTGACTTGGTGCCTCAAGTGCGACGTGTGATCTTGACGATGAATGCCAATCGATTCGGCAATGTCCCTGATTGAGAAGTCATGGAATTAGAAAATATCTTTGAGTTGGAGAATAATATTTGCTAATTATTACCTTTCAAGGCGGTGGGTAGTATTATAAAAAAGCTTCAACACATTGGGTGGTATGTGATTTGTGTGAGCGACTTTGTTAGGGTTGGTAAAAAATCTATCAATATTATTGATTATTGTAAAATTTAGCAAACTTCTATTGTTTAGGCCAACCATCGGTATTGTTCCTCAGCAAAATATTTTGTTTTACAGGCGACGGTATTTTAAACAGTAGGTCTCAGTTACAGCAAAACATACATTACATTTTTCCATAAGTACAGATTCACACACACGCACATTGCTTTAATATAATAGAAATATTTTACTTTCCTTAGTTTTTCATTTGTTTTCCATCTCAGAATTATAAATAACATACTCAGCTAAGTAACATCACAATCTTTAGGTTAGTGTGTAATGCAATGCTATGCCATTATCATTATATTTTTGAAAAGTACTGCAAGAATATTCCATTAGATTTCCTTTTTCCAAAGTAATGAATTGAATTTTCGGTATCGGTATTACATTTTCAAAAAGTATTGAATCTATTTTACAGTAGCATTATTTTGTCTAAAGTAATTAATTACTTAGCATTACATTTTCAAAATGATTTAAAAAGTAATGATAATGCTAAAAGACACAACCCAATCTTTATTAAAACTTGTTACATTTTTGAATAAAACAAATGCCAATCTTAGAATTCATACCGTAAAAAAATCCAAATTCGATATACCATCGACAGAAAATGTAATTTATTGACTTATAATCTGCCCGAAATGGAATAGTTAAATATTTCATTTGATTAAATAGTGCTGTCGAATCGCAAATTTCGTTTATCCACACCAACTTGAATGCACTACTTCCCAAAGTTATTGAACTCTGTTCATGTTAATTCAGTTTTAATAAACTATGTAATGGAGTTTGCGTTCTCCTCAAAGTCTTTTGAGCAGAAACAGATTTTTAAATGCATTCATTAACCCCTGGTGACCAATGTGGAAAGGGCTCAAAGGCCGTTCGGCCGTTGGTCAGTGTTGGCCTTTTGTTTTGGCCACAGCAGGCTGCGCGGCGGTGGGAGAGCGTCTCTCATATTGAATTACCAAAGTACAGTGAACACTCCACTCCGGAGCTCTTTTGTTTGCCTTTTGCGCTTTGTGCATGCCAAAATAAAAAGGCGTAGTCCGCTTGTCATCGGAGGGGGTGAAAATGGGCGGGGGCGCTGGCAGAGCGGTGGGCGTGGGCCCGCTCAATGGGCACTGGCCGCTTCAAGCGAGCGAACGAACGTTGAGTGAGTGACGGACTGGTCGAGTCTGACATGCACTGCTCAAAATGTAGGGTATGAAATGTACAAGTCTTCTATAAGTCCAACCACCATTTCGCTCTAAAAGTGATTAATTATGTACTGATGAGATAGTGATGCTGTGGTACAAACTATGCTAGCTATGTTAGATATTTTTTAAACAAATAAATAATCTAAAATTAGTAGAAGAAAAAATTCGGATTATTCATACTATGAATAACTTTCTTGCTTTCAAAGGAAAACCAGAGTCTTATCCATTTAACAAGCACACTTGTTAATAGATTTTTGTCAGTGTGGTCTGTCTGTAGTCTGAGTGACTGACTGACTGACTGACATGCCCATTTCGCATGCCTTTGTGTTTTTGGCCTGTTTACCTCGCCCACAATCCCCGAGGACCCCACCGCCCCCAGAAAACCCCTGCATAGGCTCTCTCGTATTCCTTTCTTTTTGGCGCAACTTTTTCGGCTCTGTTTTTTTTTGTGCGAGGGGGGTTGCTTTTTGCATTTTGTTTATATTACGTGTCGCTCGCGCTTCAAGGCGGCACCACCGACTGACTGACAACTTCAATCAGCATCAAAGACACGGAGCCGACTCTTGACTCTGGACACTGAGCCCCCGTGCCCCCATGCCCCCCTCATGTGGCATATGCCACGCCCAGTTCGCCGCTCGTGTAATTGGAGCAGCATTGAAGTTGCGGGCTTTATTCCGTTTCAAAGCCGATTCTTTTCTGTGGGTGTTGACAAAAGTCGTTGCTGTCTGCATGCCGATGGGGGGCTAATTGCGGAATATGCCGCCATAGGCAAAGAAAACAGTGGAGACTCAAATCTTTCAAGCCAACGAAATATAAAAGCGTCAACATTACCGCTTATTAAATGATCTTTAGAACTTTCTTGACTTTTAGAGTAGTCGCAAACAAAATGGCTTACAGGTTTTAAGCGAGCTGGTCCAAGCTGGGGCTTAATTTAAATTGTATTTCTTCAACGCCTTTGGGCTGGTTCGATCGATTTCGGATCGCGGTGATTTGCCATGTTTATTCAGTGGTCGTTTTCACTGTACCACTCTTTATGCATGCCGCAAGCGTGACTTCATCTTGACCTCGCGCATACGCAGCATATCCCGCATACGTATACGTACGGCCATCCAACCATCCACCATCCATCCATCCGTCCGTTCGTCCGACCCATTGCATTCCATACCAAGGCATAGTGATTCTATAGCGATTCCGATTCCAGCCCACACAAAAATGCCGCCAGCTTCCAAGCGAGACACTCTGTCTGCCGTTCTCCTTTCTTCCCTACTCCACTTGGGGGGAGCCCTTTTCTCTTTTCCCCCGTTTATTCTGCGGCGCTTTGCAAGTTATTTTTATTGATGAAGCGTACAAATCGAGTCAGGGCAACATTGTTGCCTGGCCACTGGCAACATTTCATTAGCGGCGATATTGAATTTATGTTGCTGGCAACAATGTTGCCATTCTACAGTGGACGGTCGCCAGATAGATTCGTCTTCTGTGTCATCCGGCATAAAGCCATATTCCTCGTGTGTGGTCCGATCTTCTTCCACTTCCTCAGGGCATTTTTCTCCATTTCCCCCCTTCTGTTTTTGTTCAGCCGTTATCAGGTCGCCATTTAAGCTTTGAGTGCCTTTTCTAATTCACACTTTTTTCGACCGATTCTTCCCTCCGCGGTGGCTTTTCTTTTCCTTTATTCTCTTCTATTCAGTTCCCAGCATGTGACGACGTTCGCGTTTTTACGCGTCGCGCAAATGGCAAGCGACACTGAAGAATTGAGGCGGAAGAAGAGTCCATCCTTGGAATCCAAAGATCTGTATACCCTTAAAAGTGACTTCTACCGAATCAGTTTCCATTCTAGGGAGAATCCTTTTTCCATCTTAAAAACCTTTTGTATAGATCCAAAATTTAAATATAATAGGTCTTGTTTGAAAGAGGGTGAGGATTTCCATCAACTATACTTAAAATAATCCAACATGATTTTGGGATTACAATTTTGATATCAAATGCCATCGTTTGATTTGTATAGATACAGAACTAGATTCTAAATAGACCTACTTTATCACAAAGCATGTGTGAAAGCTTTTCAATATTTCAGAAAATCTTATAATACCCTCTGAAAGGGTATCAAAATAAGAAACTGAAGTGAGAACGGATCGGGGGACCACACACGAAGCAAAAGCCGGAGAGCGGCATTCGTCTAGGCCTCTTCTGCGACATTGCGACGTGATGAATGGGCAGCGACAACATCAGACGCAAATGCAGGCGTTGGGGAAATTAGTGGGGAAAGTGGGAGGAGGAAAACCCGTGGTGAGGGGAGGGGAAAGGGGGAGCAGGTTGGTCAATCTGAGCCGCTGTCAGCTTTGTGCGACTCTGTCAACGCCATCGCTTTTGGCGCACCGCCTCTCACAACCCCATAACAACCGTCATATTCTGACGGCGGCGTCTTTTTCAAATGGCGCGCGTTTAATTTGCAAATGAGCTTAGACCGGACCCCTTTTTAAATCTTTTTACTAGACTGACAAATGACCTCAGGTTTTTAAAGGGTCATGGTTCAGGTATGCTAGAGTATGTGCAGGTTAGTTATGAATATACGTACATACATGTATTAAAACTAAAAAAATATTTTTATATTCAGAGATTTGGAGAGGTAAAACTTCTGTAAATTAACATATTTTAAAGCTCGGTGATTGCTTAAAGTATTTTTTTTAAGCAAGGCATTCGATTGACTTTAGATCTTCGTATAAGTCGAACGAGTGTTCGAACCCTAAAAAAAAGTTTTTTTTTGTTTTACAATGAATTATTTTTCTAAAATTGAGCAAAATCTGAGAATAATACATACTTGGAATTGTTTTAAAATATGAAACGGAACTAAGATTAATACTATTTTCTGGTACATTTTTTATTTAACACGATAACAACTGGTGAACTGTCCTTACGAAGTTTGCTAATTAAAGCCTCGTCTTACAACGTCACCAGTGCCCCATTACTTAGTTATTCCCCTACCTATCGAACTAAAATGAAAAGAATTAAATTCATTTGGCTGTCTCCACTTCGGAATTTGTTGTTTTCGCTGGCTCAGCATTCCGCTGACAGACAGAAAAATAAAGGAAATAAAGCTTTGCGGGGCGGGAGGGGGCGTGGCATCCGAGGTCTATGTCTGGCCTGGGTTTTAAGTTGTGGCGCTGTGCCATTCCCGGAATTGTTTGTCTTGTCTTTTGTCTTCACAAACCGTCTGCGGATCCCTGGGATCGCAACTCACGAGTTGGGCTTTGGGCTTGGGTTCAGATGTTTGTTTTGATGCTGGCACAGCATTATAGTATTTTATATATAACGGCCACGCACCGATTTGCGGGGACTTCCAGGAACGGGAAGACAGAGTGAGAGAAACACTCATTCATAGGCCATTGATTGAATTACAGCGTGGAATGAACTTGTTTTGAATGCGATTCAATTTCGCTGGGTTCGCAGAACCACAGGATCGTTAGGCAATCATTATCATCATGAGCTGTCCTCCATTCGCTGGAAATATTTGGGTCGTTTTGATGGGTTCGTAGGGCCAGAAGATTGACCCATTTCGGGGAAGCCGCATGAGGGCCTTTCCAAAAAACCACCGCACCAGCAAACCGCCTACCCAACAAATCCCACATGCCATAAATTATAAAACAACACAGAGGAAATGTCAACTCCGTCGTGTGGGTCAGGCCCACAAATATAGAAATAATACAATCTAAAAGTAAGGCAACGAAGTTCATATGCCCTTGATTTTCGGCTTTGAGTTATTCGGTGTATATTTTTGAATGGATTATGTGTTATAATACTTGTAACAATTTGGTTAAAGAAATAAAATGGTCGTAACTGTATTATTAAGAAT